AGGAATTGATGCTAAGGACAGAATTCAAAGGAAGTAAAACGCAAAATAGTTAACAAGGCTTTATCCCTTATTGGAGTGTGTGAAAAATCGTACCTATGGATGTGTGTATCAATTAGCTATGGCTGCATAACAAGTTATCCATCCCCTCGACACACACCACAGCAGCTTGAAATGCAGGCAAGATGGTGGCTGCAGGTGTCTTATACCTTAATCTTAGATGTGGTATACCATCACTTCTGCCGGTTCTCTTGGTCATACAGACCCACCTTGACACAGCGGGAGAGAGGATTACATAAGAATGCGACTACGAGGAGGCAGAAGCCACTGGGGGACCTCTTGGAGGGTAGTTGTCACAGTCCGCATGGGAAAATATTTGGACATATGAAGAGAGGCAGAGATTGGAGTGATGTATCTACAAGCCAAGGAACACCGAGGGCTGCCAGCGATGCCGGAAGCGGGGAGAGGCAGGGAGGAACCTCCCCTAGATCGCGCTGACACTGTGATTTCGGACTGCCGACCTCCAGAACTGCGAGGGAACACACTTCCGTCGCTTTCATTCACCAGAGCCAAAAGCGGGCAACAACACGAGCGTCTACCGACGGATGGGTAAACACGGCGATCCATCCAGACAACGGAATATTACTCAGCCTTAAAAAGGAAGCACATTCTGACACCTGCTACCACGTGGATGAACCCGGAGAACATCGTGCTCAGTAGATAATCCAGACACAAAGGACAAACGCCGTGTGATCCCACTAACGTGAGGTCCCTAGAGGAGTCAGGTCCACGGAGACGGAAAGGAGATGGCAGCGCGGGGGAGGGGCGGTTAGCGTTTGATGCGTGGGGCGACAGAACAGAGAAGAAGGTGGGTGGTGGGTGTTGGTGGCACAACAACGTGCATGTATTCAATACCACTGAACTATACACTGAAAAATGGTTAAAATGGTAAGTTTTATGTATATTTTACCACAATAAAAAAATATACCAACCTCAAATATGGTGTTTTAAGATTTATGTTTTGATGTCTCAGCCCCACTCACGGTAACTTGTTACGACAGCCCCAGGAAGCAAATACACTTGCGATATAGAAACGGTGCAGGGAAATGAGGGCTCCTGAACACGGACTTCCTCTGGGCCCCGTTTCACGGATGTAGAAACTGAGGATCAAACCGTGAGTGACAAGACGGCCCCGTCCCTTCCCTGTGGGTAGTCTGAGGGAGTCCCACATCTACCCATACTTTTTCAGTAAAAAACACAATGAAAGAGCTTTGAAAATGTATTCCTTTTGTTCTCTTCCTCTGAAATAACACATACAGGCAGGGAGGTGGGGTACGGTGTAGGTGGGGAAAGGTGGAAGCCTTGGGGGCCCTCTACCCCCCACAAACATCCCAGTTCCTCTTCAGCAGTCCTTTAAGGGGTTTCCCCAAGGACTTGGGAGAGGTGGAGGGAGGGGTCCTCCAGTTATCCTAAGCTCAGAACCCCACTATAAAGTATAGAAAGAGGGCGTGGCGGGGGCTGGCGGCTTGGGTTAGTAGTGAGGGTAGAGGGGTGGGAGGATGGGAGTCTGCTCCTCTCCATAGAAAAATAGACCTGGAATGAGTTCTAGGGGTTCGGTTCATTTCGCACAATTGGATACTTGGGTTTAGGGAAGGGTGGTCTGCGTAGACTCGCTCCTGGCTTCCGTCTTCGAAGCCTGGGAAGAGGCTGGCAGTGCTGGGGTTGGGCAGAGGTCCCCTTAATGTGTCCCCCCTGCCCCCGCCTCAGATCGCCTCCTTGCCAGCGCCCAAGAGCTGCTGGATCCTGCAGAGGACCCAGGCTCTGGGGGTTACCAGCTTATAAGGCGAGAATGGAGCGGAAGACACGGCGGGATGTGGGGGAGGGGGGAGCAGTGTCCCACAGGGCCCAGAGGCATAGCCACGATGGGGATGGGGGGTGGATCCAGTGTGTATAAGGTGTGAGAGGGACGTCTAGCATGTCAGGACAATGGACAAGTCCCGTGGGTTTTCTGAAACCAGGAGTCCAGAACCCAGGGTCCCAGCAGGTCCCGACCCAGGCAGGTTCGTGTCATGGTGGAGGAGGTGTCTGGGCTCTGGTGTGTCTAGGATAGGGGACATGTGGAATCCAGGATGTTGTGATCAGCCTATTGGGATCTATGCATGGGATCTGAGCGTTTGGGAGCCAGAGTCTGGGAGGATTCGGGTCAGAGTCCAGGGGCTAAGGGGTTGGGATCCAGTGCCTGGCAGTGCCCAGGTCTGTTTCCTATAAGTGAGATTTCAGTATCCGGGGCCTGCGGTGAAGGGGTTGGGGATCCAACAGCTGCAGTTGCCAGGATCCATTCACTCTGCCAATGGGCTCTTGCGACTGTGGTTTTAGTAGCCAGAATCTGGCTGGTCAGGGTTTGGGGATCTGGGATCCGGTAAGTTGGGGGCTGAGAATGTAGTGGTTGAAATGTAGGGATCCATCAGTCAAAGCAGTGGGATCCAGGACCCAAGGTCGAGGTAAAGGAATTAAAAAATCCAGTGGCTGGGATGAGGGGATCTGAGATCCAGTGGCAGGCGCCCCAGGATCTGGACATTGCACTGTCAGGACCTGTTGGCTGAGGTTTCTTGGTATTCGGAATTCAGCAGCCGAGCTTGGAGACTCAAGGCTTGAAGCGTGGGGATGTGGGATCCAGCGCTGTATGAGGACACTGGATCTGGTGCCTGCGGGAGCTGGGGTCTGGGTGTTTAGATATGGGGGACATGTACTCCTGTGGTTGGGGTGTCAGGATCCATTAGCTGGGCTGTGGGGGATCCCGAGGTTAAGACATGTGGTCCAGGACCAGTGTGTGTGTGTGGGGGGGCAGGGATGGGTTGGTGGGGACAGGAAAATGGGATCCAGTAGCTGGGATGTGGAATGCAGTACCCAGTGGATAAAATATGGGATCCTGTGGTTAAGTGGGGGGCCCCTGGAATCCACTGGCTGGGCCATCTGTCTTCGGTGGCTGAGGTGTGGGGGACGCCAGGACTGAGGTGAGGGATCTTAGTGGGGGTGGCCCTGGGTCCCTCACCTGGACGTGACCCCCAGAGCCTGCTTCATGTTCTCGTAGACCACATAGGAGATGCTCACAGCCGGGATGACCTTCATGAAGTTGGGGGCGATGCCCCGGTAGAGGCCCGGCACGCCCTCCTGGGACAGGATGTGGCGGAGCAGACCCAGCATGGAGAGCTGGGGGGCGCCCTCGACGGAGGCTGGGAGGGTGTGGGGAGCCAGATCAGGCCATGGTCCACCTCTCCTCTCCCCTCCGGCTCCCCAGGGCTGGGCCAGTGGCCATTGGAGCAGGAGGAAGGAGGGTTAGACTAACGGCAGGACCCCACCATTCAGATTCGGGACTTCGACTGGCCTTGGAATGGGCTGCCCACCTTTCCACTTCAATCTGGGTGACCTGAGTTTGAGGATGATTCAAAACAGAGCAGGTGTGTGTGCGTGGGGTGGGATAGGGCACAGAAGGGTCCTCTTCCTGAAACTGGATTCCCACCCTCCTCTCCCGGCTAACTCTTACTTACCCTTGCGACCTCCACTCCAAAGCCAGCTCATCAGGGAAGCCCTCTTGGGCATCCCAGTCTAAGTCAGGCTCCTTCTCCCTTTTCTTCAACCCTAAGTCCATACTCAATTGTGGAATAATTTATTCAGCATCTTTCTTCCTCTCCAGCCTGTGAGCTCTTTGAGTGTGGGGGACCATATCTGTCTTATGCACTGATAACCCCCCAGCAAAAATGACAAAACACGAATGCTAAAATTCTGGAGGAAATTCCCAAAATAGATTCAGGGATGGTAGGGGGTAGGCAGAGAGAGAACCCGTAAGAGGAAAATACAGAGAAACAGTAAAACGACAACCAGCCTGGCCCTGCCCCTCCTCAACCTGGTTCCTTGCCTCCCCCTCACTATAAACCAGCCTTGCAAATTAGATCTCAAGTTACCAGCCCAGAAATACTAAAGTCTACCAAGCAGCCTCCCGGCTAAGATTGCTAGATGCGATTCCAGTACTCGCTGCATCTGCTCTCTTAGGGTAAAGGGCTCCCATCCCTCACAAATAGGTACACTGAGGCTCAGAGAAAGGTTGGGACTCAGTCAAGGCCTTCCAAATCAGGGAGGATTCCAGCCTGGGATTCTACACACCTGGGAGGAAGAGCTGGGGAAGGGGGAGTGGGCCCCAAGTTATGAGACCTTCCTTGCCCCATCCTCCCGCCCAGGCCTCACCTTGGGCCTGCATACGGGTCCGGACCAGGGCCAGGGGGTAACTGGCTATCTGGCCACAGGTGCTGGAGATGGTGCCGCAGGCCAGGAGCACGAGGATGCCCGGGTCAGCCGAGTCGTGGCTATACTGCTGGAGCCACTGGTTCTTCAGCGTCTGGCAGGGGTGAAGAGGGGAACAGAGTGGGCTGGAGGTGGGTGACACCAGGACCCTAGCTTCAGAGACCTCGCTTCTGTATCCCAAGATGGCTAGCCCTAGCTGAGCACTTTGTACCCGTAGATGCCACACAAGCATTTACCTGCACCCTCTCAGTCCCCACCTTGACCCTCTCTGGTGTATGGAAGGATGGCCCCCTATTGTCCATGCCCTAGTCCCCGAGTCTGTGAATATGGAACCTAAAATGGCAAAAGGAACTTTGCAGTTGGGATTAAGTTAGGGACCTTGAAATGGGAGATGATCCTAGAGCACAGGGGTTGGTTCGATGTCATCACAAAGCTCCTCGTAAGAGTCAGAGAAGAGGACGTGATGACGGAAGCACAGGTCAGAGGGAGGGGGCGGGGGGGAGAGAGAGCTTGGAAGCTGTTATGCTGCTGGCTTCGAAGGGCCCACGGGCCAAGGAACGCAGGCCGTCGCTAGAAACCGGATAATGTAAGGAAACAGATTCGGCCCTGGAGCCTCCAGAAGCACCGCAGTCCCGCTGACACCTTGATTTTAGCCCACTCAGACCCATTTTGGACTTCGGTGCAGCGATGGATTAGTGATGTCTGGCCCGGGCATGGAATAGGCAAATTTGAAGCAAGTGTTTGACCATTATTGCCTTCGCAATTTTAAAAAGCCCTCTCTTGGGCCTGGAGCAAAATTTGCCAAACAGGTGTTTAATGAATTTCTAAAGAGCTGTTCTGTTGAAAAGGTTCTGATGACTGGGTAAGTGTGGCCAACACTGGGCTAAAAAAATGTCATTTTTCTGTAGGACTTCTCAGAGCCTTTAAGAGACTAACATAGATTTTGAAAGTCCAACAGGGCAGTCTTTCTCAAACTACTTAGACCTCCAAACTCCCTTTTTTGGTGAAGAACAGATGAAGTAAGCTCGCGTCTTACTCCTGCTCACAACCCTCCATAGCTTCCTGTTTGTTACTCTAGGGATAAACCCAGACTCCCATCGAGTCTTTACTGACTCTTCAGGTCCCTCCGACCACTCCAGCAGGCCAAGTTCATGCCTGCTTCTGGACCTGGCCCTTTGCTGTGCCTCTGCCTTGTTCACGCTCCTTCCCAAAATACGTTCGACTCATTGCTGCTCCAAGGTCACTTCTCAGAAGCATTCCTAGACCTGCCCTCCCGTCCACTGTCACTTTCGACTACACACCCTGTTTTATTATCTTCTGAGAATGTATCAAAACCTGAGAGTGCTTATTTGCTGGTTGACCGGCTTCCTTGTTCATTGGAGGCCAAGGACAGCATTGTTCTTATGTAATGCTACGTCTGCAGCAGTCAGCCCAGTGCCCAGCGTATATGGATGCTTAAGCGAATGAGTGAGTGGACAAATGAACAAATGAATGAATGAGCGATGGCCAAGTCTTATTTGGCTGCATAGATGCTGTTGTTAGGAGGGCAGGTATGGGTGGCAGGTATGGAGGATTTTAGGTCCGGACCAGCTACATAACTTGCAGGGCCAGTGCAAAATAAATATATGAGCGGTCCCTCTTTCAATGATTACTAGGAATTTCAAGATGGCAATGGCGGGGCTTTCAACCAAGTGAGGGGCCCTTCGGAGTGTAGGGCCTTGGTGAGTGCATAGGCGGCCCGCCCATGAAAATGGCCCTGTCCCGGGTACAAAGATTTTGGGGGGATGCCTGGGGACACGTGGGGCTGTGCTAAGTGGGAGAACCTGACGATCCCAGCAGGAGAAGGTAAAGGCAGTAGTCAAAGCTCCTGGAAAGAAACAGCAGAAACTCCCTGTCCTTGCCTTTTCTGAGAAAGGCCCCAAGATGTTGGTCACGGGGTGTGGTTTTTACGGTGGTGCCGATGCTGAAATGAGCAGGCCCTGAAGAAGACACTAGCCTGGAGATGTAGGCCAGGTGTGACACACGCTGTGGGGCAAAAATGGGCATCTTTGAAGCTTGTCTTCACCTGTCCTCATGATTCTGTGAGCTGGCAGGGGCCCTGACTTCCATGTGTCCTCAGACCCACGAAGGCTGAACTGCAGTGGCAAGTGGAAGAGAGTGAGGATGTCTAATGCCTGAAGAGGTGCCCAGGATCCCCAGCCCGTGGTGCTTCTCTGCCCCAGGCCCGTCTCTCCAAGCTCTGGAGATCAATTGAGTCAGCCCCACGGGAAGAGGGTGGCCCGTGGGCAGATCCCAGAGGGAGGAAGAAAGGAGAGAGGGACGGGCTGCCTACAGACCTCGTAGACGGCTAGGTCGATGCCCGCGTAGGGGATGATGCCCAGCACATTGGGCAGGTAGCCGCGGTAGAAGGCGCGGGGCCCTTCTTGCTCTAGGATCCGCCACGCGCAGTCCAGCAGCCCCTTGTACTGGCCCGTCCGGCGGAGGGTCAGCCGCGTCTTCAGCACCTGGGGAGAACCCAGTTATTCCTAGGAAGCTGCCTCCAGAATTACTACGTCCAGGAATGAAGTCACTTAGAAATAGCTACTCCTGGAAATAGTTATCCTGAGAATAACTGAATTAAAAAAACCAAAAAACCAAAAAAACACTTTCTCTAGAATCTTCTGCTATCCCTAAGCTCTATACTTAGAAATGGTTACGCCTCTAAGAGTTGCACGTGGCAGTCATTGCTAACTGTCTCCCTTATTCCTTAATAAAAGAAATTGTAATTTTTGGCAAGCACAGAGCCTCTAGAAGTAAAGACTACATCTCTCAGCTGCCCTAGGTGTGAGGCCACGTGGTCACATCCCAGCCAGTGAAATAGGCGAAGAGTGTGGCGTGACTTTCAAAAAGCACGCTTAATGGCAGGGAGGTGTTCTTTCCTCGGTCCATTCTTCCTTCTTCATGGAATGTGGATGCGATGACCAGAGCACAAGCAGCCGTTTTGGTCCACGAGGTGGCTGCTACATGCAGAGGTGGTGAAACGACGCGACAGTGAGAAGGAACTCGGGTCTCTGACACTGCGAAGCCACACACCGGCCCTGAACTGCTCACCTCCAGACCTTACTTATGTGATTTGAGTTTTCCGTTACTCAGAATCCTAATCGATGCACTACACGACCTGAAACGATTTCTCTGAAAAGCTTCACCTAGCAATGCTTCCCCTGGGGACAAGCATCCTGGAAAGCAGCATCCTTAGAAGAGGCATATCCATGAACGGCTGGCCCCCACCACGGCTCTCTAAACAGCTATACCCAACACTGCTGTTCCCAGAAGTCACATCTCGAATTGTGTTGCTCAGAGAGGCTGCACATGAAACAGCATCGCTGTCATGAGCTGCAGTCTGAATCAGGGAGAGGCAAAGTTAGAATCCCAATGCTTATCACACCACAGAATAAAATGGTTATTGCAGGCCCCCATCCTGCAATGGGGCCTCTGCCAAGGCCCCTCCTTCTCACCTCCATGGGGTAAATGATGGTTTGGGCTGTGGCGCCAGCCAAGGACCCAGCCACGAAGCGTTCCTGCACGTGCAGTGTCTCCTGTTGCCCTCGGATGGCCCGCTTGATCTGAGGATGGGACACATGGTGGCAGGCAAGAACTCAGGGCTTGAGCCTCTGTGTACTTGGACCTCCCCCCTACTGTGCCACTGTGGGTATCATGCAGGGGAGAAGATGCGCACTCCTGGGGACCTGCAGACATCTTCCATCCCCAAGCCAATTCTGCAAATCCTGGCCCACATCTCCCCCCACCTGCCCCCACCTGCTCATAGGCCATGAACTTGATAGCTGACTCAGGAGCAATCTTGAGCACGTTGATCCCATTGCCACGCCACAGGGAGCGCACACCCCCTTCTCGGACCATGCTCCGTAGGCCCCCCAGGATATTCAGCCTGTTGGTCTTGGAGGCATGGACCTGGGCGGGGAAACGAAGGCGACTTTCCGGCTCCCTCCAGGCACCCGTGTCTGGGGGAGGAGGTGGGGCTCTCCAGGGCCCCTCACCTGCATGAAGACCTTGAGGCGGTCCAGAGGGGCTGTGCCTGTCCTCGACACGGCGCCCGCCACTGCACCAGCCACCAGCTGCTTCCACCACATGCCGGTCAGCTTCTCCTGCTCTGAGAACTCGTCGGGGACAGTCAGGCACTCGCCAATGTCCAGGACCTGAGGACGCAGAGGCTGGGGTATCATGCCACGGCCGGGGCAGAGAGATGTAACTCAGCTCTAAATGGGGGTGTCTCCATGAATCTCAGGATACCCAGACAGTCCACCAATGAATCTTGCTTGGAGAGCCCAGGAGACACTTGGATCCCTACTGGATCTCCCCAAAACATCCACGTCAGTGGTCTCCTGCATAAGACCCCTTGGTGGCCTCTACCGAATCTCACTGAAGAAGGTTTACCACATAAAGATCCCTCTAGAACCAATTGGATCCTTCTGAAGGATCCCAGAAGATCCTTCCAGGGCCATGCAAGATCCTACCGAGGACCTCCCATATAAGGAGCCCAGCAGATCCCTCCCGGAGCCTCACCAGATTCCACAGGGTTCTCCTCCATAGGGATCACCCCTTCTCTAGCGCCTTCCTGTAGACTTCTCAACCAAGCCCTCCGTGGATCTCCATGAGTGGGACTCTCTGGATCTCCCAAGAGGATCTTACCATATCCTGCAGATGGATCCCCTCCAGATGCCATCAAATCCTATCAGAAGCATTGTTCAGGGATTCCCACCCAGGAAATGGTGATCTAGAGCACCCCTCCCAACTTCCAGTGGATCCCATTGGACCCCACGAAGGCCGTGGCTTCCTGACTTGTCTTTTCGGCAGCAGAATCCTTAATTGAGGCATTGAGAGACCAGAAGGGGAGCTGCGTGGGTTGAGGGTAGTGGGCCGGGTGCCCCATCTGGTGAGCTCTTTCTTCTCTAAGCTCCTAACCCCCACAGTCTGCTCCCAGAGGCCCCGCGGCAAGTCTGAAGGGCTCCGATCAGATTGAAGACCTCCCCAAGTGGGTTGGTCCCCAGTCTCCCAATCCTCGAATGGAGGAAAAGAGGAGCAGTCTCATCCTTCGGCTGCTCCCAGCTCCTGACCCAGCCCCTCCATGCCCCGAGGAGACCTGAGCTAGGCCCCCAGGGGAGAGGGAAGAGGGCCTGGCTACCAGGCTGGGAAAGCCACCCCCGCCTCACCGTGGAATGCTTCCAGAAATAGAGCACGTCTTCCACGTTCTCCAGCGAATGCAGCAAGAAGTGGTCACGCCATTCCTGCCAGTCGATGGTCATGGTGCCATCGCGGTCCATGCTGGGGGTTGGGAGAATCAGTGCCTGAGGCTGGGGGTAGGTGGGAGTGAGGTTCCGGTCGGATGTGGGGTAGGCCAAGCTCCCCTGCGCCGAGAGCTCACCATTTGACGGTGGGGAAGACGGGCTCAGAGAGGTGGAGCAACCGGCCCGAGATGGACCTGACTCCAAAGCCCAGCTTCTCAGCTCCTGGGGCTGGGTGTGGGGCCCAGAGGCCGCAGGGGGCCGAGAAGACCCAGAAACTGGGGCTCCCCCGGATTCTGGAGCCAGCTACTCACCTGTGTAGAATTCTCTCTGCCTGCTCCAGGGAGATGGAAATGCCCAGAGCTCGGAAACTCTGCTGGATCTCAGAGACATCAATGTGACCTGGGGAGGGGTCCGGAGATGGGGAATGGTGTGTAGGGGGAGCCCAGGGCCAAAGAGCAGGACAGCTTGGAATGGGAGTGGTCTAGCAAGACGGGGGGTCTGGAAAGCCAGGGCAAGGTTTGTGGTGGTATTGGGGGGAGTCAGAGAAGTTGGAGGGTCTGCTGTTTCACGAATGAATGAAAACATGAATTCGGGGCTAACGATTGGGCTCTCTATGCCATGGGGGGGGTGTCAAGAGGTGATGTCAGAGACCTAGAAGATGCTATGGGGAGGGGGGGTCTCTGTCCCATAGGGAATACCAGAGCAATAGGGGGGATCTTTGTCCCTTATAAAAATCTAAGGGTAGTAATAAGGGTCTCACCCTAGAAGGGAACGGAGGTAGGATGGGCTGGCTGGGCCCCAAACCACCTAGCTGGGGGTGACGAGACTTCCGAAAATAGCCTATGAGTCATCAGAGAGATGTGGCCTCACCCCTCCTGGCATCGTGAGTTCTAAGCCATTGGCATCTCCAGGGCCCCCACGGCCCCATCCCTGGGCCTTACCGTCCTGATTGCGGTCCAGACTGTGGAACAGAAGCAGCAGGCGCTGTTCCCGCTCCTGCAGGTATTGGGTAAACTCCTCCAGGTCCAGCCCGCCATCTGGGTCAGCGCCACCCTCTAGCAAGAGGCCCTGGCAGGGGGAAGGGACAGAGGGAGCTCCAGGAGGCTGCTCCCCCATCTGGAGGGGGCACAAGCTTATGCCCCAGAAACCAGGGCCCCCAGCACCTAGAGGACAGGGACAGGGAAGCGCCCCGCTCCCCATCAGTTTGCTTCTCAGCAAGATGTCCAAAGCCACAGTAGAGCTGTGAGGTGGATAGCAACTGCCTGGTTTTCCTGGTGAGCAAACTGAGGCTCTCCAAGGTCAAGTAACCTGTTCAAGGTTACAGAGCTGGGAAGCGGGAGGTAACGTTGGGCTTTCGTCTAGGAAAGCCTGTCCTCCCAGCTGTCTCTTATAAAAACCTGCCCCCATGGCAGTTTCAGGAGCTCCCTTTTAGAGACAGCTCTTGGCAACATGAAGCAATGACAGATCCAAGCTGAGGAGCCACCGAACCTCTGTTTTCCCACCTGAAAAGTGGGAGGTTGGACTGGAGGGTCAGGATGCTGTGAAAACACTCCAGTGGCATCTGGGGCTACAGGTGTAGGGGACAGCTGCATGGAAGGGGTGGGGGTCGTCAAGTTCCTGCTCTGATGGGTTCATCCCCACCTGAGGGTGGCCTCAGACAGGATTGGGTCCCTGGCTGGGGCAGCTGAGGCATTGAGCCAGGCCTGAGAAAGGGCAGGAATGTAAACATAGAGGCTGGGGCAGCTGGCTGGGGGGGAGGGGTGCCCATAGGAGGGGGAGGAATGGGAGGAAGGTGTGTCTCTTGGAGGTGGGAGCACAGTATGTCTTGGGCTGTGCGGAGTTCAGGAGAGGGTGTGTCCTGGGCAGTGAGCAGGAAAGCTGGCCAGACTCCATTCTCAGGCAGACATTCCCTCCGCACATCGCAGCAGAACCGCAGGCCCGGGGCCTCCGTGGCCCTGTCTTGAGCGAATCAGTTAGGCATAGACACGGGTGGGCATGGGGAAGGGGACAGAGACGCCCAGGCTGGGCACCGGTGCTGGAATCCAGCCACAAGCAGTTCGTGGCGGTTCCCGGCGCTCCATTCAGGGGCTCGGGTTACCTGGCACGGGCAGGGCCGGAGCACGGCTCGCCAGGCCTGGGTACCTGTTGGGCGTCGCGGTCCGGGTCGCCCCCGCCCAGCCGGGCCAGTCCCTGGCGCAACTCGTGCATGTCCACGCGGCCATCCTTGTTACTGTCCAGCTCCTCGAATAGGCGCCCCCAGCGCGGCCGCCGCTCCGCGTCGGCCGGACCCCCCCGCATGGCGCCCACCCCGGGGGGAGGGGGGGAGAGGGGCCTGGCAGCGGCGGCCTCAGCGGGGGCTTCGCGGCTCCCCCTCCCCCCCGGGGCCCCGCAGGGCCAGCTCGGCGGCCACTGCCACCACAGCCTCCGCGGTGCCCGCCTTAGCTCTGGCACTTGCTGCAGGCGGTGACTGCTAGCCGTCGCCGCCCGCGCCAGAACTTGCATCTCCTCCCCCGACCCTGGGGGGGGCGGGGGGCTGGGGGCGGGGCTGAAGGTGTCGGGAAGGTTGTCTGGGATGCTCGGGTGTGGCACAGCCTAGGAAGCACCAGGGTTCATTCTGGGAAGAGGGTCTAGAGAGATCAATGGTCTCAGTTCTGGTTTCGGTGTTCCGTCTCTGCGTGCCTCAGTTTACCCTCTGCCCAAGGGGCGTAGGGAGATATCAGGGATGGGTTTCGTCATCCTTTTACACTTGACTTCCCTCCCCTACTAAGCCTCTTCAGGAACTGAAGTTCTCATTTTTCCCGAACATACTCAAGAACCAATCCAACGCCATGTAACCCTCCATCTGCCCACCGGCTCATTTCAAATTCCCCCTCAGCCGCAGAATCAGAAGAGCAAGACCTGGCGCTCGCGCAGGTCCTACAGCCCTCCCGCGCGCCTCCTTTCTCGGTCCCACTCAGTCTTGGAAACGGAAGATCAACGCACAGCGCGGTCGTAAAGTCGGTTTCCTATTGGCTGCAACCGCCAGAGGGGGGCCCGCCTGTCCCGCCTCGCCCACCCACCTGGGCGGGGCCTTCCGCGGTCCCCAGGCAGCCTCCGGCTCCTGAGCCCGGGGCTCTCCAGGAAGTCTTAAAGGGGCAGCGGTCACATCCAGACGCTGGGCTGACTGCTCTCTCCAGATCGGCCTGGGGGATCGCAGTGTCCCGGGCGCGGATGGAGACGAGGACTGGGTAGCTGAGCGCAGGAGGCCGGGCCCCAGCCTGTCGCCCTCATTGCGCTTGCCGAACGTCCGTCCCTGCCACTAGTTTCGGGCGCAGTTTCTCTATTCACCATTAGGGGGAGGGGTGAACAGACCGCTAGACAGCGAATAATATGAACAATCGCTAACACTGGATTCAGTGAGTTGCACATACCAGGCCTTTCCCTTGCCTCTCGCGTCGTTTTCGCCAAAACCCTGTAAGGTAGGTGGGACTGCCTTTCGCACTTCACCGGTGAGGAAACCGGAGGTTCGGGCGCTCTCCCCAGTCCATGTGCCCAGTCAGGGGCAAAGCAGGAATTTACCCAGACCTGGGATTCTTACCCATCACTCTGTACACCAAAAGGGATTAATTTCTCCTTAGCCATCAGTCTTCACCCTAGAGTCCCTAGGAAGGGAGTCGTCTTTTTACCGTCGTCATTCAGCCAAAGATACAGTCCCGAGGGCACATTTGGTGCCCACTCAGCTTCTGCCCAGGCAGGTGTGCTCAAATACGTGCGTCCCAGACAAATGAGCCTCTTAGAGAGGCTTCCCTCACAGATGTTTTCATTTACAGGTGGTTCTTGCGGGGGCCCTCCAACACGGGGGATACAGATGTTTTCCCACAGAGAAGCCTTAAACAGGCGTTTTCTCGCAGATACATTCCTGACAGGTGGGCCTCAACACACAGGACAGGAGCGGCTGTCCTGCTGCTCCGCTGCCAGGTGTGCTCCAATGGGAATGTGCCTCATGCGGATGTTCTCAGGTCTTTCTCTCATTTGAGCTCAGTTCCATGCAGATGTTCCCCCTCCAAGACTATTTCCTTCTCCTCGCAGGTATGCTTTGCAGCAGAAATCCACACAAGAATGAGTTTATACAGCATCCTCCCCCCCCCCACAGGTGTGTTCCAGTTAAGTATACACGAATACGGGTCTGTTTCCATATAATTGGGTCCCATACAGGTGTACTTCAATGCACTCATACAGATATTGCCAATAGATTTCTACACGCCAGAATGCCTCAGTCAGGTGTTTGTTATAAGGCAGGTGCATTCTGTAGCTGCTTTCCACACAGATATGCTTCCATTTAGTTATACGCCAAGTAGATGCGATTCAATCAATGCACGTGTCTGCCACAGGTGTGCTTCTTATACATCCGCGCAGATGTCTCTCCTACAGCTTTGCTCCCGTGCAGGTGTGTACCACACAGGTGTTTTTTCATTAGAGACTCCCCATCTGGGTCTGCCCAGACAGAAGTGCCTCGTACCTCGGTGTCTCCATGAGCCATGTGTCCCTACACCTGTGCCATCCTACAGATGTGCTCGCAATACAGGTGAGCGGTTCCTCTCGCATCCGCGCGCTTTCGCGCGATTTTACTCCTCCCAATTGTAGGACTGGGCTCCAAGTCGCAGGTGCGCCCGGGCCGCGGCCCCGCCTACCTCCTGGCTCCGCCTTCTCATCTAGGCTCAGGTGCACAAGCCGGAAGTGCGCTCCCCTCCCAGGTAAATGACTAAACTTTCCGGGTCACGTGAGCGGGAGGAGCCGGTGGAGTCCGAACGAGAGACCGAGGGACGCACCGAGGGTTCGAGCAAGCGAGTCGGACCAGGAACCTGAGCGAGATCGAAGACGCGCGGGCCAGGTAGGGAGGCAGGGCGTGCTGGTTGGCCAGCCGCCCCTTTCCCCTTTCTTTTCCCGAGGCCAGGAACGCTCTTCGAGTTAATTTTTAATCTCTGACCTCTGGCGGCGGGGCGGGACTCCAGGGTGCCCTGGCGCGGGTTGCCCCTCCCCTGGGCCTGCGCCGGGTCCTGCCTCCTCCCCCACGCCCTGGCCTTTCTCCTCCAGTCCCTAGGTGCTGGATCACAGGTACCCCCGGCCCCGAGATGCGGTAGGAACGGCGCGCGGGAGAAGCCCCGTCCCTGGTGCCACCAGCCTGTCGCCCAGCCCATGGCGTGCCCCAGCCTGGGGCTGCTCCTGGCGTTCGGCCTGCCACTGCTGCTGGCCCGCTGGGGCCGGGCCTGGGGGCAAAGTAGGTACCGGCGGGGACATTGGGGACCTGGGACACTGAGAGCTCAGGGACTGGGGAGCGGGCATGGAGGTGCCTTGGGGGCAGGATCTACAAGGCGTGGGGCCGAGGTTTAGAATTCCTAAGTCCTTCCCTGGGCACTCAGAGTTGGTCAACAATTCCTGAGTTCTTGATTGGGGCAGAATTATGAGCTGTGGAGAGAGGAAGCCCTCACATCGAGTCGGTGTGGCTGAGGTGTTTTGGGTGGGCTGGAAGCCAGGACGAAGCCTGCTTGCGGCTCGGAGTGCGGGTTGACCACCATGCTGGCCATAGGTGTAGACCCAGCCATTCAATCCTTCTCTTCCAGTTTCAAGAGGCTGGGGGGGTGGTATGAGTCAGATACTCCAGGGGAAAGCAGGACCTGCCCCCACCCTCAAGGGCGGTGGGAGGGTCAGAGGGGTGGGGGAGGGGAGCAGAAGGTTGGGCTTCCGGACACCGTCCATTATCAGAGCCCCCAACTCAGCGAAAACTGCAGACTTCTCACGGCTGGGCTCCGCTGGGCGGCGGGTAGCCAGAGCAGCACATACAGCTGGGCCGGTCTTGGGCGCAGAGCGCCCACGGTCCCTGCGCGAATGGAAGACTCGGAAGGGCAGCTTTGTATCAGGGGTTGCCCAAGGAGGGTGCAGATGTGCCGAGATGAGGGACAGGTGGAGCTTCATTTATCCTTTCTGCCCCTCCCCCCCAGCCTCGGGCCCCTCTGCATATGGAAACAGCACCAGCACCACCCCCCGCCCCAGCTCCAATGCGGCCCTGGTGAGTAGGGGATGTACGTGGGAGGAGGGCAGCCAGGGTGTTATTCAGGAGCTCACATGTAGCAGGTTTAGGGGTCCAGATCCCCAGAGGTGGTAGGTTGGGGTGGTGCTGGGGAACCCCAACTGGGAGACCAGAACATCAACATGGCAAGTGAGGAGACCCAGAGCTGCAGGAAGGGGGTGGAAGTGCCAAGTGTAGGGGGTCAGGAGCCCCATAGGCCTCTCAGAAGGAGGGAAGGGGAGCCAGCAGGCCAGATGTGGCTGGTGCTTGGGAGAGAGACCCCAGACATGGCAGGTGGGGGGACTGAGAGCTCCAGATGAGACAGATGGGGGTCAGGGTGGAGGAACCAGACCGCTAAAAGTGGCAGGTGGGATGTGGAGAGGTTAGGAACCCCAGATGCTTCTAAAACGGGACTGGACAGGGACTCCGGATTCAGGCCAGTGACAGCCGCCCCCCTCTCGCAGTCGAAGGAGGCCACCACCGCGATCGTCGTGGTCTTCTCCCTCCTGGCCGCCCTGCTCCTGGCCGTGGGGCTGGTGCTGCTGGTGCGGAAACTGCGGGAGAAGCGGCAGACGGAAGGCAGCTACCGGCCCAGCAGCGAGGAGCAGGTGGGTGCCCGTGCACCCCCGCCCCCCAACCTCAAGCTGCCGCCTGAGGAGCGGCTCATCTGAACGCTGGGGTCCACCGCAGACGCCACCACTGTCCAGGACTGCCCAGTGCTTGCTCCTGCATAACAACCGCCACCAGAACACGAGCCTCTGATGGCTCAGGAGGACCTGGGGGCCGTGGGGCACCTGCTGGGTGGGGCTGCGAAGCATGTTGCCTCTGCTTGACTGTGCCTGCAGCTGGGGGGGCCAGGCTGGGGCCCCGCCCCCTGCTGGCTTCGCCATCTCCGCCCCGGCCGACAACCCCATCTCCTTTCCTTTCAGCTCTCCCACGCAGCCGAGGCCCAGGCTCCCCAGGACTCCAAGGAGACAGTGAGGGGCTGCCTGCCCATCTAGCTCCCCTTCCTCTATCCGTCTCCCTCCCTTACTGTGTGACCTTGGGGGAAGGCAGATGCCTCCCTGGGCCTTCACACTCACCCAGCTCAGTGCTTAAGAATAGAAGGGTAAAAGGTGCTTCAAAGAGTGCTCCCGAGGGCACGGGAGGGTGCGGCTGCTCACTTTTTATATATGTGTGTAAAATTGCTAGTGACATATAATAAAACCTTTTTTTTT